AGCCCGGGCAACAAAGCGAGCCTCTGTCTCAAAAAAAAAAAAAAAGAAATACCGAGTCGCCGGGGTGTATACCCATTTGAGAGATATCAGAGTTGGTCTCCGGTGGCTGAGGCAGGTATCTGTCTGCGTGGGCACAGGGAAGCTGCCTTTGGAGAGAGAGATATGGGAGATAGGAGGCCAAAGGTGGGGGCTGGGCTGGAAGATGATGGTTAATGAGAAAAGGCCGGCTGTACATGAGCTCAAAAGGGCTCAGATAAGTAGGATATCAAGGAGCTGCCCTGATCCAGGTGGGAGCCAGGGACAAGAGGTCAAGCCATGATTGACGGGTCTTGATAATGAGTTTGGTGTGGTGGTCTTTTATTAACCCGTTAGGCCTTTCAACCTTTCCTGAGGACTAGGGCCTGTAGGGAACATGGAGTTTCCACTCTATATCGAGCACCTCACAGACATGGTGAACAACTTCAGAAATGAAAGCAGGGCCATTGTCAGACTGAATGGAGGAAGGAAGGGCAAAACGAGGAATAATCTCTGTGATGAGAGCGGAGGCCACAATTCCAGGTTTCATTGGCAGTGGGAAAAGCTTCAACCCAACCTGTGAAGGTATCTGCCAGTGTTAAAAGATATTTGAAGCGTTTGTGAGGTGGCATATGAGTGAAATCGACCTGCCAGTCTTGTCGAGGGAGGTGTCCGCACATTTGATAGGTAGACACGGGGGGTTTGAGGCCCCCCTGAGGATTGACAGAAGCACAAATGTCACAGACTGAGCAGACAGTTTTGATAAGGGAGTTTAGCGAATGGCATGAAGATAGAGGCTGTAGGAAGTGGAAGAGGCCCTTGGTGCCAATATGTAGTGAAGAGCGTACCTGGCCAATGACTTCTAGGGCTTGTGCCTTAGGGAGGGCCAATGTGCCATCTAGTATGACCCAGCCTTCAGTGGTGATTGAGCCCCCTTCAGCAAGAAGTCTGTTGCATTCTTCTGGAGTGTAGCGAGGTTGGAGAGAAGGAATGGAAAGGAAAAGAAGAGGAGCTGGACTAGGGTGGTTTGGGTATGTTAGGCTGCGGGCGACAGCATTGGCATAGTTGTTCCCCTTAGTGACAGGGGACCTGTCCGTCTGGTGTCCCTTGCAGTGTATGATAGCCAACTGGGGGGGCAGCTGAAGGGCCTTGAGGAGACGGGAAATGAGAGTGGCATTGAAACAGGGGAGCCCTTGGTGGAGAGAAAGCCTCGTTCTCTCTATATGGCAGCATGGCAGTGAGCTATCATAAAAGCATATTTAGAGTAAGTGTAGATGTTGGCAGTTTTACCTTTGGCGAGATGTAAGGCTCCGGTAAGAGCAATCAGTTCCGCCTTTTGGGAGGTGGTGCCCTCGGGGAGGCGGGATGCCTCTATAACCTGAGAGGCTGAGACAACAGCATAGGCTGCCCGGCGCCTGCCGTCATCTCCCATGGATGAGCTGCCATTGACAAACAATGTTAAGTCTGCCCCGGGGAGGGGTTGGTCCGCTAGGCCGGGCCTGGAAGTGGTGGCGGCTTCGACCAACTCAGAGCAAGAGTGAGAGGACAGGGTTAAGGATGGGATGGGAAGTAGAGTAGGAGGGTTTAAGGTCGGAGACTGTGTTAAGGTAATGGTGGGATTTTCCACAAATAGGAGATGGAATTCCTGTAATCTAGAAGGAGTGAGGAGCACCAACGAACCGTGTGTGAGTTAGGACGTCTTGGAGGTGATGGGTAGAAAAGACATGTAGATCCTGTCCCAGGGAAAGTTTTAGTGCCTCCCTAGCGAGAGTAGTCACCAAGGCCAGTGCCTGGAGACAGGGTGGCTGGCCAGCCACGGACCGTGGTGTCCAGTTGTTTGGATAAATAAGCTACCGGAGTAAAGGTGGGTGCATTCCAGGAGCCCAAAGGTTGGGTGAGGACGCTGAGGGCCAGGCCTTGGTGCATCCGTGTAAAAGTAAAAGGGTTTTTCAGGACGAGGGAGTTTTAGGGGGTGCTTGCAGGAGAGTATCACGAAGTTTCAGAAACGCGCGGCAGAAAGCCTGAGGGTTTAATAGAGGGCCAGCGGAGGCATCACGTGCTGCCTCATAGAGGGTTTAGCAAGGAGAGAAGAATTGGGGATCCAGTGTCGGACGAAACCAGTGAACCCGAGGAAGGACAGAATTTGTTCAGCAGTGGTGGGTGGCTGGAGGTCGCTGAGAGCCTGCTGGCGATCCACAGTGAGATGACAGGAAGTGGGGGTGAGACGAAGTCCAAGGTAAGTGACAGTGGGCATAGACAGCTGAACTTTGGAGGGGGACACCCGATAGCCCTTAGAGGCAAGAAAGTTGAGTAGAGAGGCAGTGTGAGTCTTGGAATGTTGTAGAGAGGGACTACGGAGCAGTAGGTCATCAACATATTGAAGGACGGTGCTAGGTTGTAAGGGACATTGAAGTAGGTCCTGGGCCAGAGCCTGCCCAAATAGATGGGGGCTGTCCCGAAACCCCTGGGGCAGGACAGTCCACGTGAGTTGCCTGGATGTGTTTGTGTCAGGATCTTCCCATGTAAAGGCAAAGAGATTGTAGCTGGCTGGGTCTAAGGGGATAGTAAAGAAGGCATCTTTGAGGTCCAGGACAGAAAAGTGGGCAGTGGAGGGCGGAATATGAGAAAGTAAAATGTAGGGATTAGGCACTATAGGGTGTATGGGGACAACTGCCTTGTTAATGAGTCTGAGGTCCTGGACTAGCCGGTAGGAGCCATTTGGCTTTTTTACCAGGAGTATAGGGGGAGTTGGTTGGAATTAAGAGTTTTTCACACAAGAGATGTTCTATAATGAGTTTTAGACCTCTGCAGTGGGTTGATGAAATAGGGAACTGTGGGCAGGAAGGGAAGGATGAAGGGTCTTTGAGCCGAACGAGGATGGGGGTGTGGTGTGTGGCCACCACTGGGGTGGAGGTGTCCCAAACCTGACGGTCTACGAGTTGAGGTGGAAGAGGGTATGTAGGGCTTGGTAAGTGGGGGGAGGCTGTGGATGAAACTGAGGAATCTGAAGAGAGAGATAGAAGAAGAAGGGTGGAAGTTCCCAAGGAAAAGTGGAGGGTGCTGCCCAGTTTGGTTAATAACTCCCTTCCCAATAGTGGAGTGCGACAGGAGGGCATGATAAGGAAGGAATGGGTGATGGGGCGGCCATCTATTAGGCAGGTTAGGGGACTGGTGGTGGGGGCCTGAGAGGGATTGCCGTCAATACCCATGACTGACACCTGGGAAGGATAAGTAGGGCCCGAAAAAGAAGGCAGGACCAAGTAGGTAGCCCCCATGTCCACCAGAAAGGACACTGCCTTACCTGCTACCTTGATTGTTACCCTGAGCTTGGCGAGGGTGATCGGGGTCGCTGAGTCAGGGCCTCTTCAGTCTTTGGCAGCCAGACCCAAAACCACCATCAGCAGGTCTAGGAATGGAAGGACTGGCTCTCCGGACTTTTGTCCCAAGGGGCAGTCACTTTTCCAGTGTCCCTCTTGACCACATGCTGGGCAAGGCCTGGTGGGTGGATGTGGCTGTAGGCACTGCTTGGCCCGGTGGCTTTTCTTACCACACTTGAAGCAGGTGTCTGGTGGAGGGTGTCTGGCCACCTTAGATGAGGTCGATGGCTTCTCAGGTCCCCCTGGCCACAGGGCTGCAGTCAAGGCTTGGGCTTGCAGGTGTGCCTTTTTGCGGATGCAGGCCTCTTTTTGGGCCTCTGCCTGTTCATCTCGGGAATTAAAGATTTTAAATGCCATGTTTACCAGGTCTCGGATAGGGGTCTGAGGGCCCTCCTCTGCCTTTTTGAGTTTCTTTCTGATATCAGGGGATGACTGGGTAATAAAGTGGGTCGCAAGAACAGTAGCCCTTGCAAGGGAGGTAGGGTCTAGGCGAGTATATTGGATAAGAGCATCTGTAAGGCGGTTCAGGAAGGCTACGGGGTTTTCGTCTGCCCTTTGAGTGATTTCCCTGAGTTTGTCATAATTTACAGCGTGATGAGCCGCAGCCTGGAGGCCGGCAAGGACACACTGTAACATGCAGTCCTGCTGTTTCGTGTCCTCCTGGCCGGCCGGGGTATTGGGTTGGTATTTCCATTCCGGTTCGTTGCAAGGGACAGCTTCAGCCTCCACTGGCATAGTGCGGTCTGTAAGATGGACTTGGTCAGCATGTCCCTGAGCTGCCGTCCAGACGTGCTCTTTTTCATCAGTAGTAAGGGTAGAGGATAACAAAATGTCATGCTGGGTCAGATCATATGCCTGAGTCAAGTAGCGGAACTCTTTGGTGTATGCTGTAGGGTCATTAGAAAATGAGCCTAGACGCTTCTCTATCTGGGAAAGGTCAGAAAGGAAAAAGGGAACATGTACACGTATGACCCCCTCAGCGCCCGCCACCTCCTGTAACGGACAAAGGACGGACGGGTCTGAAGGGTTCACGTGAGAACGAGTGTGATACTGATAGGAGATGTCGGCGGCGAGTGACTGGCTGGCACGGAAGGGTGAGGTGGTGTATCTGGGGCTGGTTGACCTGAGTATGGTGGAGTCCAAGTGGGGGGAGAGCTGAGGGAGTCAGGTGGGTCGGAGAAAGCAGAAGGGGCATCTGAAGAGACACCTGGCAGAGAATTAGAGGGAGAAGAGGAGGACGATGGCGGGGGACCTCACACAAGGAGGACTTGGGCGGGGTGGCAGGTCAGACAGAGGGAAGGATGGGAGCACAGACAGAAAAAGGCTCGGACATATGGGATTTCTGACCATTTGCCATTCCTGTGACAAAAATTGTCAAGGTCTTGTAAGACATTGAAATCGAAAGTCCCATTTTCAGGCCATTGAGAGTCATTGTCCAATTTATACATCGGCCAGGCAGTATTGCAGTAAAAAATGAGGCGCTTGGGCTGGATGTCTAAATCCAGGGCCTTTCAATTGGCCAGTAGACACCCTAGGGGCATCTTGCGAGGAATTTTAGAAGATTGGCTACCCATGTTGCCCCAACCTGAATGGGGGAAACAGACAGGAACAGTTTCCTGACTACAGAGGCCACAGAAGTCTGGGGGACGTCTTCCCGAGACCGGTGCGCAGGAATGGAAAGGGGGAGAGAGGAAATCAGCAGTCCCCGAGTAACCTCAAGCCCTGGAATGGGAGAGCCTCTGACACAGGCCCATGGTTTAACGGACCAGAACAGGATCCAGTGGGGGGAACAGAGACTCCTGGTGGGGGATTCAGGTTGAGATAACACAGGGTGACTCACCCAGGCTGACAGAGAATCAGGGACCTGAGGTGTGGCCAGAGATCCTTATCCAGAGGGTCTGCAGAAGGGGGTGCGCCACCCTGAGACCACAGTCCTGGCAGCGCCACTCACCCTCCTGGGTTTCGGCACCAAATGTAAGGTTTTTGGATGGGCGGCAGCAGAGAAAGAAAGACAAGCAGAGTGAAAAGGGCAAGCAGCGAGGCTTTGTGGGGGGAGGAGGAAAGAGAGTGCTCCCGGGCGAGGTTCACTGGTCCCGAGAGAGGGGGCCAGAGAAATCGTGCACCCGGAAGTGTTGAGTGGGCTTATAAAGGTTTTGGAGTTGGGGGATGGGGGTTTCTCTTCGGCGTGAACTTTTGGCGTGCAAAGTGGAGAGTTCTTTGTTACAGTCTAGGGCAGGACTCATGGGCTCCTTCTTTTCTCTAGGCAGGGGAGGGGTGCCCGCCACCAGCCTTACATATACCACATTTTATTAATCCACTCATGTATTGATGGACACTTGGGTTGTTTCCACATCTTTGCAATTGTGAATTGTGCTGCTATGAACATTCGGGTGCAGATGTCTTTTTTATACAGTATCATTTGCTCTTTTGGTTAGATGCCCAGTAATGGGATTGCTGGATCAAACGGTAGTTCTACTTGTATCTCTTTAAGGTATCTCCATATTGCTTTCCACAGAGATTGCAGTAGTTTGCAGTCCCACCAACAGTGCATGAGTGTTCCTATCTCTCTGCATCCACGTCAACATTTATTGTTTTGGGACTTTTTGATAAAGGCCAGTCTCACTGGAGATAAATGATATCTCATTGTAGTTTTGATTTGCATTTCCCTGATGATTAGAGATGTTGAGCATTTTTTCATACGTTTTTTGGCCCTTATTCTGTCTTCTTTTGCAAAGTTTCTGTTCATGTCCTTTTCCCACTTTTTGATAGGGTCGTTTTGATTTTTTTCTTGTTGATTTTCCTGAGTTCTAAGTAGATTCTAGTTATCAACCCTTTATTGGATTTGTAGCATGCAAAAATTTTCTCCCATTCTGTAGGTTGTCTGTTTGCTCTTGTGACAAGTTTCTTTGGCTGTGCAGAAGCTTTTTAATTTGATCAGGTCCAATTTATTTATTTTGGTTCTTGCTGTGATTGCCTTTGGGGTCTTCTTCATAAATTCTTTGCCTAGGCCAATGTCTAGAAGAGTATTTCCAACATCTTCCTCTAGAATTCTAATAGTTTCACTCCTTAGGTTAGAACAAAATATTTTTCATTCACTTTAAAAATAAGTAAAAGCAAAGAAAAAACAAACGCAAAGCTCCATTAATTCGGTGCAGAAGGTCATGTCCTCCATGAGCGCGAACGTCTGCAGCTTGTCGGGGCAGAGGCGGGTGAGGACTGGTCCCAGCCCCTCAATCTTTCCTGTCTCTCAGAGTCAGGTGGAGAGGAGGGAGCGGCCCAGGAGCAGGAAGAAGAGCTTCCCTCTGAAAGGCAAGGTTCTGCTGCTCCACCTGGAACCCCCAGGGGGCACTTAGCCTCACTGTCCCTGAAGGCTGCAGAGGTCTGAGGGGGGCGTCCAGGGAAGGAAATCAGAACCAGGATTCTTCCCAGATCCCAGGCTGGGCATGAAGCCAGGAGGGCGGGGAATGGGTGCTGCCCAGTAGGGGCCTGGATGTGGAGGTGGGGTCTCCAAGCCCAACTGTGGACCCCTGCTTAGCCTGGCTAAGGCTGGTTCCTCTTTGAGGGGACCCCTGTCTTCTCCCCGACAGGGGGATGTGAGGACCCTGGGGGATGGACATGGGAGCACTGTGTACATGATAAAGCACTGACAACCGTGCTTCTTGCTGCCATTCCCAGTGTCACATGGCATGGGCTGCAGGGTCTAACCCCCCACGGTCTTCCCTAGAGGGACACTCAGCCTCCTGTAAGATCCCCAGGCCCCTCCCTTCCCACCTAACTCAACTCCTGATTTCCAGCTTGTAGAGACTGCCGGAGGGAACTGGGTGGGGCTCAGGCCCTGACTTTGCTTCTGCAGAGGTGAGGAACTCTCTCCTTCTCTCCCTGTCCTCCTTCCTGTCAGGGTCTGAGGCTGACTTGGGAGGGGGAGATCAGGGAAGCTGGTGGGATGTGACTAGAGCCCTGGGGCCGGGGAGAGGCAGAGCTTTGTGATGTCATGTGGGGGTAGAGGAGGGGCTGTGGGCTGTAGGTGCCCACCCCTGCCTGGCCCCCTGGCCCCATCCACCCCGGCTATAGCTTGCACTTCCTGTCTCCTGCAGCCGCCAGGTGAAGCTCCCTGACAAGGGGGGCTTTCATCAGCTCTCATGTCCAGACCCCCCAGGGAGGGTGTGCAAACCAGCACCTGCCAGAGCCCACTTGCCACGTGGGGAGCGTGTGGAAGATGCTTCTCCCACCACCTCATCCCCATTGGCTTTCCTGGCTCCCCTGGCAGAGAGCCCTCCACCTCTGGCCTCCACCCTGTGACCGGGTCCGACAGCCTCCCGAGTTTGTGCTGGATCACACTCATCTCTGAGTGTCTCCCGGCCGCCAGAGCCGTTGCTGCCCCTAGAACGCCCTTCACCCCAGCTACTGGCGTTCTCCCCTCCCACACCGCGGTCCCCTGCTCCTGTGGCCTGCCCTATGCCTCCTCCTGACGCCAGCCTGGCTTATCCTCAGTGTGACTCAATGGCACCCCCACTGGGCACTGTCCCACAGAGCTGTTCTCCACGCAACAACTGTTGGTTGCCTCTTCCCGTCTCAGTGATCTCGGACGTTGGTCGCACAAGTGACCCTGTCTCAGCCCTCTCCTGGTGGCAGGTGGCTGCCACAACTGGCAGAGCCTGGAGCCTCTCCACCTCACCCGAGAGCAAATCCCAGCAGGGGCCTTTTTCCAACCACCCACCAGAGGCTTCCTTCTGGGGAGACGCCACACCCAGGCAGATGGAGGCTCATGGCCCCACTTTCGTCAACCCTGATGTACAGAACCTGTGGGAGACACTAATTGAAAAGAGGAAGAAGGAAGAAAAGGAGGGGTCATTTCTGAAACAAGTGAGCCCAGACTACCCCCGGGGTTGTCTGGGGAATATGATAAAGCCAGCGAGCGAAGATCAGGACACCACAACCCCACACCGCTTCCGGAACATGGCAGACAAACCAGAGCAGCTGCCGGGTCCTCAGCAGCTCTCCCATCCCAAGGCCGTGGGGGACCATTTACAGCAGAAATGCAGCCAGCTCTTCTGGGGCCTCCCCTCTCTACACAGCGAGTCCCTAGTGGCTGCTGCCTGGGTCTCTGGTCCCCCATTAGAGTTTCCCTCTGTTGTATTCAATGGACTCTCTAACTCCTTTACGGTACAAATTCAGACTAAGCCACCTCCGCAACTCTTTCTGCGCCAGCCCTGGCCCCACCATGTGGCCTCGCTCCAGCCCCAGCCCCCACCGCTGGCTGGGATCCACCCCTAGGCCCGTCTCCACCCTCTCTGTCAACCCCACCATGCTATTCACCTCAGACAACTTTCTGTGGAGTATCTTGCCCAACAATCTACACGAAGGCCCAATTTCCTATCCCAACTGCTATTCAACAACTAGAATGTCACCTTCTGAAGAAGCAACAAGAAAGCAGGAGGGCCTTACCTGCTATAGTGAAAAAATCTCAGGAAGTCTTAACCAGCTCACTCCCGACAGCTGGGCCTCCCAGACCCACAAGTCAGTCTCCAGCGGCCCAGGAGATACTATCAACCCTGGGCTCTGGGAGCAACATCTACGAACAAGCTTCACACAACACCGGGGCACACCGCCCCCCAGGAACCAGCCGTCTCTGGGCAGGGCGCAGCCGCAGGGCAGATTTCCAGGGGCAGGTCAGGTAAAGGAGCAGCAAGGGTCCTCCTGGCCCTTGGCCTTTGCAGGTGGAAGCAGCCAGGATATACAGGACATGGAGTCCGAGGGTCCAGCAATATTTCAGATATGGAAACGCCTGAGACTGGATCTGGGGTACTGTCTGGGGAGTGATTCAGATCTATCTTGCAATTCGGACAGCTCCCTAGCGGTGCTCCCAGGGGCCAGCTCTGAGGAGGAGTCAGAAAGTGACTGGATGAAGCCCTCAAGTGACACAAGAAATGACTTACCAGGGAGCCCAGACAAGGAGCATGTAGAAGACATCCTGAAAGTCCACTTGAGCAGGAAGTTGGGGCAGATTAAGGAAGGCGGGATCCCTGTAAGCATTTGTCATTCCAGGATTGCTACCGACCAAGCCTTGGCCCCTTCTGAACACTCAAACATGCACATAGAACCTAGAACTCTAGCATCCTCAAAGAGTCGGGAATCCTGCCAAGACACCTCGTGGGAACTTCTCCTTGATCCGGGGAGCCAACATGCGCTGAAAGCACCCAGAAGGTTGCGGGTGAGGCACGTGGGGCCTACCCGTCAAGATCCTTAAGATGAAAAATCTGTTTATGTTGAGAAAGGCTCAACCCCCACCCCTTCCACCCTCCACCTTTCCCTCCTGGGCCACCTGTGAATCTGGGGACAACTCCACAGCCGAGGTTGCCAAGTTCCTGGGGGAAGATCCTTGCAAAGGTCCAGGAGAGAAGGAGATAAAGTCAGTCCTCACCCTGACTGGTCCTCTCCCTGCCCCCTCACCTATGAGTGTGGACATCCAGATGGACCTGAGAAGGACCCAGTCTGGTGACAACCATGGGCACTCAGAGGCTCCTTCCACTGGACAGGAGGGCAGGTGGCCTTCTCATGCAAAACCTGGCACAGTGAGAAGGTCCTGGGGGCCAGGAGAGGCATCCCAGAGCTTAGTCTAATCCAGCAATGGCCAGGAATGAGCCGTGGGAGGAAGAGGAAAGCGTGGCCTCAGGAGACCTCCATCGTAGCGAGTCAGTGCTGCAACTCACCATAGGGTCCCAGTCTTCAGGGGCCGAGGAGACCAAGGAGCCAGTGGAGGCCAAGGAAGAGAAGCCCCCTGCTTGGGAAGCCACCTTGGGAGCCAGTGTGAGGACAGACTCCCACACCCTTAATGTCAACCTGAGCTCAGGGTCTCTGAGGAACCGCAGAAGCTCCCAACCCTCTATAATTTATGTCACCCAGGACCCAGAAGAGCTGTGCATTAATGCACCAACTGTTAGTGAGTGTGAGGTTGCAGTGGAGGTGGAGCCAGAGAACCAGCCTCAAGGCCCTGCCCCAGATGTCCTCCTCCAAGACCGCGCCACTTGTGTCATCCTTGAAGACTGTGACCCTGACATTCTCCTGGCTGCAGACATCTGGGCCTTTCAGGCCACTCTGTCCAGCTCCCAGAGCAAGTCCACTGCTGGCACCAGGGGACCATATGAGAGTCAGAGCAAGCGGTCTGGCCCTACTGACGAGAGAGAGCGCCGTCAGAAGCCCAGACCAGGGGGGCACAAACAAAGGTCTGCAAGACCAAGGACCTCCCAAACCAATGGTTTGAGCCACCCTTCCCAGGATAGGGAATTAGCAGAGTCACTAAGAAGCAAGTGCTCCCAGCTCCTGCCGTATAAAGGACAGGCTCCAGCCGGGCGCGGTGGCTCACGCCTGTAATCCTAGCTCTCTGGGAGGCCGAGGTGGGCGGATTGTTTGAGCTCAGGAGTTCGAAACCAGCCTGAGCAAGAGCGAGACTGCGTCTCTACTAAAATTAGAAAGAACTTAATTGGACAACTAAAGATATATAGAAAAAATTAGCCAGGCATGGTGGTGCATGCCTGTAGTCCCAGCTACTCGGGAGGCTGAGGCAGGAGGATCGCTTGAGCCCAAGAGTTTGAGGTTGCTGTGAGCTAGGATGACGCCACGGCACTGTAGCCCAGGCAACACAGTGAGACTCTGCCTCAAAAAAAAAAAAAAGAAAAAAAAGGACAGGCTCCTACAGGAAGCTGCTTTAGGAACAAGACGAGGCAGTTTCTGCAGTGGATTTTCCCCAAGAAAAACACAGGGCAGGAAGAGCACCGGCAAAACTGCAAGCCTGCGTCAGCCACTGCCCAGCGCGCGGAACCAGTCACACGCAGATCATTTATGGACGCCAGAACGGATGAAGTGCAGGAGCTCGTGACCACTGTTGGACAGATCCTAGAGGAGGAAATTGGACCCAGCTATGAACTTCCTGCCTCAAAGGGAAATTGGTACAAAGAGGAACTCCAGGCCACAGTGGGTGGGCGTTGCAGCTACCACAGGGGTCCCTCCCACCCAGAGCAAAGGAGAGTGATGAGTGATACTGCCTGCAGTCACCAAGCCACCCCCATGGGCCATAGCTCTCCTGTCAAGAACAGATGGGTCCGAGACAAGAACAGCAACCAGGCGCCCCCAGCCAGGCCCTGCCAGCATCAGCCAAGGGCGGCAAGAGCCTCCAGCCACCCTGTCGGCTGCCTCAGGCACTATTGTCTACCTAGAGGTGTCTTGCCTGGTCAACGAGATCACACTTCTCCCACCTTTCCTGGTGAGCAAACTTTTCTCCCAGAAGAAGTCCAGTTCAGGCAGAGCAAACGAGTTCTGTCCTATGCCAGCACATCCCCAGTATGCTAATGGCTTCTTCCTACTGGGATGTGCAATCCTTCCAAATACATTGTGTGTTTCCTCATCAGAGGCGGTGGCTTCTGTCTCTGGGGTGCTGGGGCACAAGGAAGGGGTCATTGTCCGCTCTCCCTGAGTGTGGCTTCTAGAAGGGATGGGCATAGAGGAGGCTGACAGGGCCTCACACACCCACCCTCACCCCGGGGTCCCTCACTGCACCTTGTTTTCACAGCTTGGTGATTACAGAGCCTTCAGGACTGTCAGGAATGGCAAAGCCTGTGCAGACCCCGCCCTGGGACCTGGCTCACCCCATCTTTCCTGCTTTCCCTCTGCTGTGAACTTTGCGCAGTGGGGGATGGGTTTACAGAGGCCTCTTCGGGTGGAAATTCCCCTTGGGCTCCAGGAATGTGGGAGCCAAGCAGCCTCCACCACCGAAGTGGGCCGGAAGTTTTGGGGGTGGGCGTGCTGGCCCTGGGTGCAGGTACAGAGAGATCTGGCCCCCCCGACTCTCATGGTGGTGACCAGACAACCGTGCCCACAGTCTCCCCTCCCTGCCCGCTGAAGGCTGGAGCAGAGATGGGCCCTGCTGGCCCCTCTGGGCTCAGCCTCGGTGACGGGAGCACCCACGTCCCAGCCTCTGCCTTCCCCTCTGGCATGACCGCGTGCACAGGAGCCATGTGAGGGTGGCACATGGAGGATGAGGCTGGGGCATGGGAGAGGAAGAATCTGAGAGGTGGGAGCCGGGGAGGCAGCAGAGCTCATGGGGCCCCTATGTGGTAGCCACTCCATGCCCAGCGCCCACACTGGCCAAGGGGGTCGGGCTGCAACCCCAATGTGGAGGGCGGGACCAGGGGACAAAAAGCCCTCATGCAAGAAGACAGCTTTTCCCATGGCCTATGGGACCAGCCTGCCTACCATCCCTCTGGAATTTCAGAAAGGACCAACAGATGTCAGGCAGGATCCCAGTCTGGTGACCATTAGACATTTGGCACCAGGGTAGCTCCCAGGGCAGGGAACTTGGAGGGCCAGGGCTGGCCATGGTCCACAGTGAACCTCGGGGCCTCACCTGCCCTGAGGACTTCAGGGGACAAGGGGGCAGAGGGATGTGGACACACAGGGGCAGGAAGGGGTGGGGGTAGGGGCAGGCAGATCCCGCTGCTGCTGCCCCCGCCCAGAGTCCCCCAAGGCCTGGCTTCCGGGAGACCTGGAGCCCAGCGCGGGAGCTCTCCCACAGGGTCTCTGCGCACAGTTCTGAGGGGCCGTCACGCGGAACCCCCCCAGACCCGCAGAAAGCTCGCAGCCTCCCACACAGACCTCCCGCAGAGACTGCCGGAGACGCCAGGTGGTATCTCCCACAGGACCACACAGTCCCCAGGTGATGGCACAGTGACCTCGCACGGAGCCCTCTCCGCCACCTCGTGTTGCCCACAGACCCTCGTGCAGAAGCCAGGCACCGAGGTTCCCGCAGTTCCCGCGCCGCCCTCCCTCCCAGCACCTGCCTCGGGACCACGCACAGTCTCCCGGGCCCACAGAGCCCGCCGCGGATCCCACAGGAACCCCCCTGCCTCACGGCGCCCTCACCATGCCGCCCACAGCACCCCCCAGACCTCAGAGACCTCCCCCCACAGAGACCACCCAGACATGTCTCACTGCCACACAGAGACCTCATCTCGCTCCACGGAGACCTTTCATGCAGACCTCACACAGGTTTCACAGACACTTCACACAGAGAAGTGACACTCTCGTCTCACCCAGAGCTTGCAGAAACCTCCTGCTGACACATGACACCGAGCCACCTCTCACACAGGACTTACCAAGAGACAACGCACAGAGACCTCCCACTGCCCACAGAAATCTCCACAGACCCATCCCACAGAGCCCTCACCTGCATTCTTAGCAGTGGATCTGAATCCACTTAGCAAAGTGCCAATACGGGAGGGACAACATCAGCTGTGCCCCAACCTGAAAACTGAGACACTCAGCCATTGTCAACATTGCCCCCAAAATGGAGTTTTCTGTTTGGGAACTGCTCGAGAATTGGGGTTCTTTTGTAATGCTATTGCCCCTGAACGGAAGAATTACAGATTCCATGTGCAGACCCACAAAATTCTTTCCCCCACGGGTGTTCATTAGCTTTAGCTCTGACCCGCAATTTAGAGAATCACAAATTTTAAACACAAATAAAATGCTGTCAATCGCCAATGAGAGAAAAATATCTTATTTGGCTGGTTTTGGTTACCACTCGTGCAATAGTACCTGTGTCACTTTTTTTATTTCACTGGGGACAAGACCTGAACTTGAGACAGCTGACTTCTTTATTTTGGAAGCATGACAAAGATTTGCAGCAAATGGACCCCAGAAAATGAACTAAACCAGCAAAGAAGCATCTCGACTCACACCGGCCCGGGGCAGGGGGGCGGTGCTGTGCCGCTAGCACGTTATTTTGTGCATAACAACTTGTGTCAAGCTTGTGGGGTTTTATTAATATTTTTATATGAAACAAACTAACAATCATGTAAAGATTTCAAAAAATGAGTCAGATTTCTGGCAATATTCCTATTTTTCCTCTGGCAAAATTGTACTTATTTCCTAAATAGTGATATTATTTTGTTCCTTAAAATGTGATGATGCCCTCAAATGACGATGCACATGTTTCCAGGATATGACAGAGTCCTGAGGTTCAGCCAACACAGCTAAATGGATGAACTATTTGGAAGGATTCATTTTAAAATAATTCTAAGAAATGTACATTTTCCAAGACTCGGGAGGGCAAGCTCTCCTTTATATTCATCATAGGGCTAAAAAGGGATGCACTGCTTCAAATAGTTTGGAATCTTACAACATATATCACTGAGCCTATGTTTGAGATACACACATAGCCCAACAAAACTACAGGAAGGGACAGCTTAACATCCAAATTGAAGAAAGTGTACATTTAGCCAACATTTGTATTAGAAAAATGAAAGGCCTCACTTGCTATATACCCCACACTTTCCAAAGGATGCATTTCAGCAAACTCCATATTTCTTGCTGCTCATAAGCAACCCGTTGTCCTCGCCTTGTTCCATTTTAATAGCATCCATCAAGCATGTGTCACTGGTTAAGTCTCTCAGATTATCCATCAGGATGAAAGCATCACTGTCCTTTCTCTAAAAGAAGCAAAGCTGACACGAGGGCTCTTTAGGCCTAGTTGTTCCAACCAGAAGTTCCCTTCTATTCTCCATAATTATATATTTATACCTACTATTTTTTAACTTTACTCCCTTAAAATGTCACTGAATCACAAAACACTGGAATATGGTCATAGATATTCTCTAGTACTCTATTGGATTTTTTTTATACTGCAACTTACGCAAGTTTAATCATCAGAACAAAATGGGACCAATTAGGGAAGATTTCATATGGGAAATACTTTACAAAGAGTAGTGTATCTTTTCAAATTCATTTCTTTAACACGGTTAAACTAAGTCTTTTGAATTAAAGTTGTTCAGGGTTCCATAAAGTCTGAAAACATACACACATCCATAATAAATAGTTTACTGCTAAGACATGTTGAATGTGTTGTCCCTCGGTAGCAACTCACAGTTCAACAAACTGTGCAAAATAGCAGTGAACGATATATGTTAAAGCACCATTCCCATAAGTCACTGCACATGCATCGGTCACATGTTACCTCAAATGATTTGTGTGTCCAATTTTCAAGGCATAAACTCGCACCTTTGCCCAGAAGAAATAATCAAAAAGGTTCAATCTATTCCAAAAATACTGTCAGTATTTCCAGACTTTATGACCACCTGTATTTTATGATTCACATACTGCAAATCTGATAAACATTTTACTGTTTTACACATACCAAGAATAAATACCAAAAAATGAGATAATGGAGAAAATAACAAAAACCCATGTCCTTTGTTTTCAAAATTCTTCACACCAAAATATTTTGCTGAAAATGAATGATTTTTTAATCTGCAGATAAATAGCTCTCCAAATGGCATTCAGGATCTATTATAAATGTGATTGTGAAATAGATTTTTATTTAAAAGAGGTCTCACACTGATTTCAATAAATCATGCACTCCAGAACGCAATGTGGATGTTGGCAATTATACGATGACTTCTTAATACTCTAGAGCAGCGGTCCCCAACCTTTTTGGCACCGGGAATCAGTTTCACGGAAGACAATTTTTCCACGGACCGGGGAGCAGGGGAGGATGGATTCAGGATGATTCAAGCACATCACATTTACTGTGCAGTCCAACCTCTCTGCTAATGATAATCTGTATTTGCAGCGGCTCCCCAGTGCTAGCATCACCGCCCAGCTCCACCTCAGATCATCAGGCATTAGATTCTCATAAGGAGCCGCAATCTAGATCCCTCACATGTACAGTTTACAGTAGGGTTTGTGCTCCTGTGAGAATCTAATGCCTCTGCCGATCTGACAGGAGGCGGAGCTCAGGCGGTGATGGGGGGTACTGGGGAGCGGCTGTAAACAGAGATGAAGCTTCGTTCCCCCTCGCCCACCACTCACCTTCTGCTGTGAGGCCCGGTTCCTAACAGGCCGCGAACCAGTCTGCAGCCCAGGGGTTGGGGCCCACAGCTCTAAAAGATAAATCTTTTCCCAAATAAGCTGACCAAAAG